AAAAAAAAAACAAAAAACAAAAAAAGGATTGCTCTACAGTTTTTATGTTTTTAAAAGACACAGACCATTCTCTCATTTATATTCTTATTTTCCTCATTCAAACACTGTTTTTATTGCTTTTCTGGAATAAAGCAAGTATAGTCCTTCCAAAATAGCAACAAAAAAAAAATCCCTAAACTCTATTTAGGAGCAGTAATAAAGAAATGTAGGTCAAATGAAGCCTTTAAAAGTACGACCAAGGTGCCGCACAAAAGCCTGGAAAGGCATGGGCGCTGTGACATGGGCAGTGTCCTTGGAGTCTCTCCCTCTTCAATCTGGTTTTTGTTTTGGAGGGTACTGAAGAATTCCCACGGGCCCGCTTTCTCTGCCCTGACCCAGATTTCCGCTGCAAACTTCCCAGCGGCTCTGCCTCGTGGGCTCATTTTTCCCAAGCCTCCTCTGATTCTTCCTTATACAAATATGGAGATTTCTAGTGGGTGCTTGCAAGTGAGCTATGGGAATGGGGTAAAATCTGAGGTAGACGTAGAATTTGGAGACAAATGATAGATGGGAAAAATTTACCATAAATGGGACATTCAGAAAATATTCAAAATATTCATCCATTTATGTGGGGGGGGGAAAATCCCAGGATTTTGTGCTGATCCTCCTCATTCGCCAATAAAAGATGTTGATATCATTTCCAATGTAACAAGTAACAAATACTTGTCATATTCCAAAGTAATTAATACTGTGGTTTGTGGCATTAGACAGATCTAGTTGTAAATTTTAACTGTGATGGAAAATTGTTGAACTGTGCTTTCTTTTCGGGATGAGAGAATGGGATTAAATAAGAACAGACAAAGAAAGCCCTTGATTTATGCCTGACCATGAGTAGTACTAGTATTACTATTTTAAAAAAATCCTAAAATACATACTTAGCTTATTTTCAGACTAGCCTCTTTTATCTTTCCATTTCTTTTCTCCTAAGTTATCCAGTAGGATAAAAAACTGAATATAACTTTTATGCTGCCATAAAAATAGCAGGTATAAGATTAAAAAATGGTTTCTAATGTAAATGAGTAGCCAAATCCCTGTACTCCCTCTGTTGTATTAAGCTAAAACAAATACTGCTTCCAATGGAAGCATTCCTGACTGCACGTGCCTGAGATAGCCCAGTAATGAACAGCAGCTCAATGATCTGGGCAGAAGGCAGGCTGCTCAGGCACCGGGCAGCCTGGAGAATCCCTGGAGCTCATCCTGAAGCTGAACTTGCAGAATAGGCCTGGGGTTCACGCATGCGGGGTGGCTCTAGGGAGGAGCCGACTGGGGTTCTGAGGAGATAGTTGCCTCACCCCAGGATTTCCCAGTATCATCCTGCCTCACCCTGAAAGCAGGTGGTTGTTATTGTTTCCACTTAAGTAATAATAAATTAACTGGATATATCAATTTGTCCTGATGAAAAGATGTTAGGGGAAGGAAACTCGGGAGGGGTTTTTGTTTTTGTTTTGGTTTGTTTATTTGTTTTGGCCCTATATCAGGCAAATCCATTTAAATCAGCAGGAAATTCAAACTTGGCAACAATTATGTTAGAATACACCATCTTGTGGGGGAAATGATATTCCATAGATGTCTCTACACTATACTTTTACAAACGCGCTTTCTAGAAGATCATCTGCCTCAGACATTACAACAGATGATAATATTTACAGCGCAGGGTCCTAGCGACTGTCAGCAGAAGGTTTATAAGGCAAAGGAGTCCAGAGCAGGCCAGAGGGAGAGGTAGTCTTGCTCTTGGAGTACTTACCCTGTCTGTGACGGTTGTTATGATCAGAGCATTTGGCACCAGAAGAGCAGTTTTGGTTTTCTTTATTAGGGTTACTGAGAAAGCTGGAATAGTGATCTGAAACAGAAGAACCAACTTAATACTGGCTGAGACTCCAATTAACCATCAAAAAGCCAGAAGGAGGCTCAATTGGTAGAGCACTAGCATTGAGGGAAAATGCTAATGGACAGCACCCAGAACCTGGGTTCTAGCTTAGCACAGGCACCAGACCAAAACCAAAACAAATAGCAACAAAAAACAAAACGAAAATAAACCAACCAACCCACCCACCAAAAAAACCCTCCATGATTCATAGTCAGCAGTAGAGTGACTGAAAACTCAGAGATTACACAGGCCCAGGAGGGATTCTCTCTGACTCTAGGCAGTGTGAATGGGTGAAGATTAGATTTTCCCTTCTTTACGGGAGAGCTGGGGAAGGCGTGGCAGGAGGCAAATGACCGTGTCCTGTTGCTTTTTTCTTGCACTCAGGATGTCACATACCTCAGTTTCCCCACACCCATATTTAATGAGGAGGAAGAGGTGTGTACCGGCAGGCACATACCTGTGGGTACAGGTGTGTGATTTCCCCAGACGGTGCCTTACATGCTCATTTACAGCCCTGACCTCTCTCTCTCCTGGGAGCTGGTACGAACACAGTGCAAAAATAGATATGTTATGCAAATTCTTTAAAAAGAATGTGTTCACGCCAGGGCGTGATCCCGGGGCCTCCCATATTCACTCGGCTTTTGACACGACTAATGCTCTACCACGTGAGCCACACCTGCAAGTTCTAAATTCATTTGAAATGAAGCAAATTACGGCACCCTCCCATAGGAATGACGTAAGCATCACAGGTGACCCCTGGGTAAAGAGGACTCAGGATATGGGGCAGGAGCATCACGGCATGGTGCGTGTGTGCATATGTAAGGAAATGAGTGAACCTGCCGCATAGGGAAAGAGCAAGTTTGTGTCATCTGGGTGCATTTATTTCTGCAGTGTTCGGATCCTCATCAAGAGACACAATCATGCTATGAAATTTAAAATAATTTGAGTGGAAAAGGAAACGGGACAAGGATAGAGCAAGAAAACTCAATGCATCTATGTAATAAAGGAAGCGGGATTTGAAATGAGCAAATGGACAGGGAGCAGGACCGATGGGTGAGTCTGATGCAGACGCACTGAGCTTGGATATGTAGAATTGCCCTCATGCTGTTCCTCCTATTCTCCCTCCCACATTCTCCTTCATAAGGTGTTAAGCTTAGGGACTTGTGCTTGCCAGACAAGCGCCTACCACTTGAGCTATATACCACCACAGCTAGATGTCATTTCTAGTCTTTACACTAACCTTAGTGTCTTTTCCAAAGACCTTGGAATGAAAACAAATCCAGTTCTCTGATACAAAGAGCTTTCCTTGGTACAGTATTTCTTTCTGTAGAGCACATGTAAAACCTGGGAGGAAACAGACAGATGCAGTAACATCATTTAGAAGTCCCATGAAAACATCATTTCCACTTAAAATAAAACCTGCATGTGTGTTTTGCTGATTTAGGGATAGAGATAATAGAGATTAGAGATAAGACACCGTACCCTTGCGTTCTAGCACCTCTTTTTCAGGCTTTTCTTTCCACTGTTTCTTGTTTTGTTTTCCTGAGACAGGGTCTTGTTGTGATCCTTCTACACAACTCTAATGAGTGCTCAGATTACAATTGTGGCCTACCATGCCTGGCTCTTTAGTCATCTTTAGTGGAATAAAACTGGTGACTAGAGTTTGTTTTTGAATTCACAGTCTTAGAGACTTCAGAATGGCAATCAAAATGGAAGACAAGTCTTCCACTGCCCATAAGAAACCAAGGATGATGCTTCAGGAAAACTCCAGGATTTGGGACAGCCACCTGCCACACTTGTGCTAACAGGACCATCTGGTCTTCTTTCCCAGATCCTCATTAATGATGAGCCGGTTGCTTCCACTGGGGGCAAGAACACATGATGCTCCTTTTGCCCGGACACCACAGCTGGAACCCAGCAGCTTGCTTTATCATTGGGAAGCAGACAGGCTGGAACTGAACCTCAAGGCCCATGATGGGCCCCTGCTGAACTTGCTTGCTGCGAGGCTGTTTTGATGTAACCACCACATCCTGGATAGCTCTGGCATTGCCTACAGCTCTGTGTGCTCACACTGGAGCATGCACTTAACCTCAGCCCAGGCCCGTATCCTAACTCCTACCATGATTCAATTGCAGACATTTCAGCAATCAACACAGAAGGCAGGGAGGCCCATTGTGGAACAGTTCTAGATGATTCCTTATCAGCTTCTCATTCTTCTTTACAGTATGCTGGCACTGGGGCTTGAACTCAGGGCCTGGGTACTGCCCATTAGCTTTCTTACTCAAGGCTAGCACTCTACCACTTGAGCCACAGCTATGCTTCCAACTTTTTGGTGTTTAATTGGAGGTAAATGTTTCATGACTTTCCTGTCCAAGCTGGCTTCAAAAGGGGAATTCTCAGTTCTCAGCTTCTTGAGTAGCTGGGATTACAGGCGTAAGCCACTAGTGTTTGACTTCTTTTCAGTGTTTTAATGTAAGGTGACTACATCTGGCATGATGGCTCCACTCTGTTCTTCTGGGTGAAACAGTCTTAGAAAGTGCCCTCCCCCCCAACTACTTCACAACTTTTCAAACGTGTCAGAACTTACTTTGTCTCAGAGGCTCCTCGGTTGGGACTTCAAGGAACAACTTGTGAAAGTGCATGTTTGCCTTGTACTGTGAAAACAGAATACAGGCAGCACTTAACCTCTTGTCAGGCAGCACCACAACTCTGAGCTTTGGTATACATTAAAGGACAAGCGTTTCCTCACTAACACTTTTTTTTAAACCACCAATTCATCCTCTGTCATCTTCAGAAAAACATAGGAGCACAGACGTTCATTATCTAACACGATGGGCACTTTGTTGAACTTACTAACTAAGCAGCTAGTGGACATTGAAGTATCAGGACCAGACAAGAATGTTGCTGATTAAAAAAAGGGGATGCGATTCTAAGCCATCTCACTAGGGAAGATTCTGGGTTCTCACACATGTGTATGGAAGTGAGTGCCCTCTGAAAAGTAAGGGCTAAAAGTTTTGCACTGAAATAAACCTGAACTTGAGTCTTGCCTCCACACTTAACTCTCCTGAGTCTGTTTCCTCTTCTGTGACAGAGAGCAAAACCACTCCCGGCTTTAGAGTGACATCAAGGGCTTCCTGGCATTATGGGTCTCAAGAGCCCTTGCTTGGGTTCTGTTGCATAGACTATGACTAAACCGTGGTGAAAGCCTTTCCTCCGTCAAGGCAGGGCAAGTAGTATCTCAAATAAAAGACTGGACTCTGCAGGGCACTGGAAGGGGAAGGAGTCGGAAGTATGGTGAACGGCTTCATTTTTAAAGCCTCTGTCTCCAGCAATCTAGTTTGTAAAATGTTTTCACAATAACCCTAGGAAAGCCTAGCATTCTTACTCTAGCCGTAGATGTCACAGCACAGGGCTGCTAGGAGGCAGAGTGTGGTCCTCCCTCCCCTCTTCCATAAGATCTGCGGAAGACAAAGTCTGATAAGGAGACAGGGATTCTCCCAAGTCTGCCCTAGGTGCTTTCTTATGCACACCAGGAATGGTTTCAACCGCACAACTAGCCTTACTGCTGTAAAAGAAAGTTCCAGACCAGGTCATCAAAATGCTAGATGGTCCCTGCAAGTCACTTTACACAACCTACATTAACTGCTGCTTCCTAAGAGTACATTTTGCAGCAGAACCCTGGAACTTTGGTTGAAAGTGAGTCTAGTCCTAGATCTCCATTTTAGCTGACATGTGAATTTTCAAATCCTCAACTCTGCACTGGTGGGGAGGGATACTGAGATTTTGGTTTTCATGGCTATAAGGGAGTCTTGGTTTCAGACTTAATTTTTTTTGGGGGGGTCCGGTTGTGGGGCCTGAACTCTGGGCCTGGGCGCTGTCCCTCAGCTCTTCAGCTCAAGGCTAGCGCTCTACCACTTGAGCCACAGCGCCACTGAGGAATCGAACCCAGGGCCTCATGCATGCAAGGCAAGCGCTCTACCACTGAGCCACCTTCCCAGCCCCGGTTTCAGCCTTAATTAAAAATATCCTAGACCGGTTAGGCGTGGTGGTGTGTGCCAGAAATCCCAGCACCGGGAAGACTGAGGCAGAAGGAGAAAGTTAGGCCAGTTGGACTATGTAGGGACACTTTCTCAAGATTAAGAAAAGCAAAGGCTGGGATGTTAGCTCAGTGGTAGGTAGGGTGCTTACTTAACATGTAGAGATCCTATGAACAACACTTGGTACTACAAAAAGTTAACAATAAAAATAAAAAAGGAAAGAGGGAAAGAGAGAAAAAAGAGGAAGAAGAGAAAAAAAGAAAAAGGAAGGAAGAGAAAGAAAGAAAAAGAAAAGTGCTAAGAGCTGGTGCTTCATGTCTATAATCTTAGCTACTCAGGAGGCTGAGATCTGAGGATTGTGGTTCAAAGCCAGCTTGGGCAGGAAAGGCCATGAAATTCTTATCCTCAATAAACTCCTCAGTAAAAGCCCAAAATGGTGAAGTGGCAGTGTGGCTCAAAGGGGTAGAGTGTTAGCCTTGAGCAAAAGAGCTGAAGGGTAATGCCCAGGCCCCAGGTTCAAGCCCCATAACTGACAGGAAAAAAAAAAAAAGAGAGAGAGAAAAATATACATATTCTAGGCCATGGACTGTTAAAAAAAATCAGTGTAATAAATGAAAAAAAAAACAAAAAATATAGTAAGACTGATGTCGCTTAAAACCACAGTAACATAAATTCAGTATTTTGACTCCTGACTGGATCCTCAAGATAAAGAAAGAAAAGAACACTGTTATAAAGGACATCCTTTACTAAGACAACTGTGGACACTTAAAACAAATTTGATATTTAGTAAAATTCTGTATATCAAAAATTAGTTCATTTTAATGCCTCTTCTTAGGAGGTACATATTCAAGTATGTAGGAATGATGTGTCAAAAACAGAAAAACCGGGTGTGATGGCTCCTGCCTAGAATCCCAGCTACGCAAGAAGGCTGAGATCTGGAGGCTCATGGGTCAAAGCCAGCCCAGACAGAAACGTCCAAGATATCCATCTCCAAAATAACTACCAAAAAGGAACGCAGGAGACATGGCTGGAGTGGTAGAGCACCAGCCTCGTAAATCCTGGTACTGTTGTTAGCATGCACAAGGTCCTGGGTTAAATCCTTAGCGTTAAAATCAAAGACCAAACAAAAAAAATAATCAAAACCCCACAAACTTCTGACCTCCGTGAGCGTTAGACTCTGTGACACAGAATTAGGCTTTGTGGCCTGTCTGGGCATGTTTCAGGGAATTGGAATTACCCATGGAAAACGTGACCCAATGCACAGGATGACCCTGTGCACAGGCCTCTCATGGTGCTCTTACTAGACTCTGCACTTCCTCACAGGTGTCACACCTTCCCCTGAACTGCTGGTTACTGACTAGTACTGGTCTGTGTGACCTTAACTCCCTGGGTTTCCATAAGGGTTAGAGGTCACAGCCATATGCACGGAAGGGTCAGTTGTGGAATCTAATACTGATGAAAAGTTGACCAAAGGAATGGCTTCCCATCTGCTTTTCTAAATTCGCTGGGCTTTGTGCCTCTGTTAGGGATAGCCAGCAGGATGCTGAACCCTAAGATTCTTTTTTATTTTTCCTCTACTGGCTCCAGTACTACTGTAAGTCTTGGAAGCCACATATATTCCAGTTTGCACTTACCTGGCTGGAAGATAAAGATTTTTTCCTTTCAGTCTTAGGGACATTTTTGTTTTCTGTTTTGCATTCGTTCTTGTCACCTGACACAGTCGCACCCTCAAAACTGGATTTTGACCTGGGGAAGTAAAACCCAGGGAGATCACAAGATGAACTGTCTGTGTCACGTATTAATTTACTGCAGCAAATCTCTATTATTACACATGTCACGAAGGAGCCTAACATTTGGTTTTCTTGTCTAGATATTCATAATCACTCCTGAGACACTAAGGGAATTTGTCTAGCACAAAGCTCAGCAGGTTATCATCCCAAACTGCAGAGACAGGGACTTACAAAGGGACAAACAGCGATGGAAATGTGAGTCATCATATCACTTCCAAAGTGTCTTAAGCAATATAAAGAGGAGTACTTGAGGCAAATTACTAAATAAAAATTGCAGCTGAGGTTGAAACAAAGAATAATCCTGTTCCAGAATCTATTAATATTTAATAAGCATTCATTGAGAAGGGGCATTGTGCTGATGGCCTTGGGAACACAAGAGAGTCTTTATCCTTAGGAAGCTTACATACACACACACACACACACACACACACACACACGCACGCACGCACACACGCACAAAAAATTAGCTTTTTAAAAAGTCAGTACATAGCTGGGTGTTGGTGGTTCATGCCTATAATCTTTAGGTGAGATCTGAAGATTATGGTTTGAAGCCAGCCTGGGCAGGAACGTCCATGAGACTCTTATCTCCAATTAACCACCAAAAAGCTGGAAGCGGAACTGTGGTTCAAGTGGTAGAGAGCCAACCTTGGGCAAATAAAGCTCGGGGACAGCAGCACCCAGGGTCTGAGTTTAAGCCCCAGCATGCTCACACACAGGCAGTACACAATTTAGCAGTATGCACTAATAGGGGTGGAGACACAATACCAATAGGAAGGGAAGAAGAAATCCACAGAACAATACACATTTGATATATAGGACCTAATAGGAAGAGCAGAGATGGATATGAGGGAAAGACAAAACATTCCAGACTGAGAAAACAGTACAAGTGAAATGTGGAGGGGGAGTAAGAACGTGTTTATCAGTTTTATTTTATTTTATGTTCAAAAGGGATTCACTGTGATATTTACATGTTGGCATACATGCATCTAAATAGCTTCTGATCAAATTTACCCTGAAGGAGACATATTTAAATCCAAATCTTCCACTGTCCTGTTAAAAGCAGTGGTCAGAGGCCCAGATTTTCTTTTTAGGATTATTCTAGTTCTGAGAATCTAGAAAGTTTGTGCATCCTTTCAACCATAAAACTAACAGCAGCAATTTTAGAGTGGAATGCATATGATTTCTAGAGGTACTATATAAATGAGTTTTGTAGTTATGTAGTTGCTTTATTGTTTATGGAAGAAAAATGGTACATGTGACATCCACAACTCTTCATTACGATTCCTAAAAATGAGGCTCTGTTACTTATTTGGTTCAAAGTAGATTTAGGAAGAATCTGAAGTAATTTGGGTGCCATAGAGGGACAGAAATGACTGAAGTTAGACATCAGTCTCTGGTTTTCTCAGCTGGGATATCTCAGGCCTCTTCCAGCCCCAACAGCTCATGATTCCACAGTGCTCAAATCACAGGTAAAATACCTCTCAGTAGATCAAAGCACATGCATTCAACCCCCCACCCCCTCTCTCTGTCAGGGCTTGGGCTCTGCCCTTTAACTTTTCCACTCAAGGCTTGGTGCTCTACCACTTAGCCACAGCTCCACTTCCAGCTTTTTGGTAATTAACTGAAGGATGTCATGGACTTTCCTGTCCAAGCTGGCTTTGAACTGCCATCCTCAGCTGAGTAGCTAGGATTACAAGCATGAGCACCAACACTTGGCTGGATTTGATTTCTGCTACTGGTTACTGAATCTATTCACCAGATAGAAATTCCCTGGGAATTCTAGAGATCATTGTTTTGGAAACTATAAACAAACATCTGTACTCTTCTTGACAATAAAATTATTTTGTAGCTTTTATTTTAAAAAGTTGACAGTTTTGGGAATTTAACAGAGCTTTGTAGACAGGTAGGACCTGACAGGCAGGTGCTATACCACTTAAGCCATGCCTCCAGGCCTTTTTGCTTTATTTTTCAATTTGGGTCTTGCTAGCTTGGACCTCAATTCTCTTATTTATGCTTCCTAAATGGCTGTGATGACAGGTATATACTACCTCACCCGGCTGGTTGAGATAAGAGTCTCATGAAGATTTTGCTCAGGCTGGCCTCAAATTGTGATCCTCCTGATAACCACCTCTTAAATTTTTCTGAAAGTCAAAATAATAATGCCAAATGGAGTGCCGGTAGCTCATGCTTATAATCCTAACTATTCAGGAGGCTGAGATCTGAGGATTCTGGTTTGAAGTGAGTTCAAGTGGAAAAGTCCATGAAACTCTGATCTTCAATGAATCAGCAAAGAGCAAGAGGAGGTGTGGCTCAAGTGGTCGAATACTAGCTTTGAGTGGAAAAGCCAACAAGAGTGCCAGGGACTAGTACCAGTACTGGTACAAAAAAAATCCATTAACTGATTACAGTGGCTTATTTCTGTAATCACAACAGTCAGGAGGCTGGTGCAGAGGAGAGTAGTTAGCTTGAGGCCAGCCTTTGCTACATAATGAGACCCTATCGTACGCGGACAAACAAAATGATGTCATTTATCATAGTACTACTATGCCGATTCAAGTTAACTTGTGCTGATGGGACTGCCAAGAAGATGGGCAGATCTTTTGCAAATCTAAGAACCCCTACAAGTAGGGCAGTGCTGCTTCTGATGACTGACTGCCAAGGGTTAACAGCTCAGTAATGCGCATCCTGTCAACCATGCGATTCTCACTTCCTACAGGTGCACAGGACCAGAACCAGAAGCAACGTGAATCAGCAGTGCAGGGGCCCTTACATGAAGACAAGTAAGGGTTTCCAGACTGAGCACTGTGAAAGGCACAGACTGTACACCTGTGCTACGCAAGCAAGGCAGCCATCCAAAGTCCAAGGAAGCTTCAGTACATACAACAGGGTTGCGAGCATCGCACAGAAAACGACACGTTCTGTGTCCTTGTGGGGTGCTCCCTGTGAGGAGGCAGAGATGCGCTGATGGGAAATGGCTATAGAAAAGGAAAGAGCTACAAATGAGGCATGCAAGACAGACAGACACAAAGATAAACAGGAGTCTGCGAAGGGAAACCGAGGGCAGAATTAAGACTTACTCTTGGTCCTGAATGAAGCAGATTTGGAGAGATGATAAGGGTAGGGGGTCAGGAAAGAAAGTGAAAAGCAGGAATTAGTTCATCATTGCTTAACAGAGGTGGAAGGAGAGAGAGAAAGTAGCAGTTAGAACAGTTTTCAGAATGGGGAAGGAGGGCAATCACAGGCTTCAGGAGAGGTAAGTACTGTAAGGGCAGGGCGGGGATGTAGTAGGGTGGTGGAAGACGTGCTCTGCATATGCTAGGACCCATCCCCAGCACCACAGGAACACACACAAAGATCAAAACAAACACCACCAACAACACAAAATAAAAAACAAAACCCAGCCCAAACGCCCACATTCACCGGTCCCTAGGACCACTGGTTTACGTCCGCTGCATTTCAAAGAAGCACCTTTCAGTCCCTCCCCGATAGTTGGTGCCTCAGAGAGCCATGGGACCTGGAGCCGCCTATCCCAACACAATCCCGCCCTGTCTAGCATCAAGCTGAGCTTCCCCCACAGCCTGGGGGAGCACCGGCAGCCAGGCGGAGCCCTGGGAGGGGTTCTCCTCGGCCCCTTCCCAAAGGCTCCCAGAAAATCGAGACACCCCAGGCTGCACTCTGAGGTGCTTTACCCATCTACGCCTGAGCGTGGGAATCTGCCCGCATCCATCAGCACAGCGATGCTCCCCGAGGAAGAGATGAGAGCAGGAGGTGAGGGCCAGCCCCCCCCCCCTCAGGAAAGGCCCTCGGCGCTCTCTCGCAGGGCAGGGTCAGCCGCGAGTCAGTCCAGCTCTTCACCAAAGCCCCCACATAAAGAGCCCAGAGAGGACTCACCGCAGGCAGATGCTCTTTTTCTGGTCTGGAGATTCAGCTTCCGTGGATGGGGCAGGTGACGGGACTGTTGGGGACCTGCACACTTTTTTTCTGTCCTCCACACCATTCTCAGCCTCGGAGCTGGAGAAGAAAGAGAAGCACTTGATCTTAGACATCCAGAGAGAGGCGGACGGATGACCGACGAACATATCAATCGCGTGTTTTGGAGCAGAATGATCTTCACTTCTCAATGACAGGCTTGACTGGGATGGCTGTGACCTTTCCTGGGTCCATTCTAGCCCCTTCTAGTCCATTCTAGCTGGAAGGGCAGAGCTGCAGGTCACACCTGCTCCACTTGTAGATGTCTGAGTGTGCAGGCCCCTGCTCTGCTCGCAGGTCTGTGCTGCTCAGACTGTCTGGCCTAGATGTGTGCTGTAAAGCTGGGAGGGCCGTGGTGCACATGACACTGACACACACACACACACACACACTTTATTTGCACTTCTCTGTGTCACTTACCACCTTTTGTTTGGGTTGTTGTTGTAAGCAAGCAAAGCAAGCACTTCCCTACTTTACAGTCTATAGTCTTTACAGGCCATGCAGGTGAGACAGGATTTATTACCTTTGTTTTACAGGCAAAAACCTGACGCTCTCAGATCCATGCTGCCCACGTTCACAGAGCTACCAACTGTCTTGGTCAGGATTCAAATTCCATTCTGTCCATCTGCCAGGTGTTTGTTCATAAGTTCGCTCTTCTTCCTCACCCATCACCCACCCCCATCCTTCCAATAACTTATTAATCCATTTTTCCTTCCGTGAGAGAGCTCTAAGGTGAAGTGAGAATCCTACTCAGTTTTGCAGTAAACACAGGGTCTAAGATATAGTCAGGATTAGTAGGTTTAAGAAAAATTAAAATATGGCAAATGTGAGATGGAAGGGAGTAAAGGAGAAGACCAGTGAAGAGCGTCTGCCTACTAGGCCACCAGTAAAGGGACGAGCAAAGTGATGGATGTACAATTTCTGTAAACTCCCCCCATCGGTGGTTGAATTGGGGACCATTTTCAAGATCACGGAAAAAGGTAGGATTCATAGTTCAGCAGAGAACCCATCACACACACACACACACACACACACGCACACACACGCGCGCACACACACACACACACACACACCCCCTTGGAAATGAGAACAGTGTAGACAAGCCTCACATAAGACACACAAATCAAGCATTGCTATGACAAGTTAATTTTCATCTACGGCAGTTATTGATCAGGCTGCCGGTAGACACAGCAGCACACACAAGGTGTCCTGTCTCAGAGGCACAAAGCATCGGGCAGAAATCCACTGGAGAAGTTTCCATAGGAAGACTTTTGTGCAGAGGGCAAGAATCCATCTTAGCCTTCAGCTGAATATTAAGTTTTCTGCAGGGTCAGGTTACGACTCAAGGCAGAGCAAACGCTGTCTTGTTCTTGTGTTTAGCAGGAGTCATTCACGCTAAGAAGTGTCCCTTGGTGTGGGGATATCCTTCCTATTACATGGACTGGTGGGGATAAGATGCCCTGTGCTCTAGCACCGAATTGCAAGGGGAAGTTCATCCAGCTTGGGCTGGATTAGAACCCTTGATCTAGTCAGGCCCTTTCGTGCAGTGCAGGGATCTTTCTAAGTGCTTAATGCTATGTGGTAGTTTGGCTCAGCGCTGAGCTGTTCAAGGTATACCTCTCTCTATTCATACTGAAGTAGCATCTTTCAGCATATTTCACCTGTGCAAAACACACAGGTGGGTTCCACTCAAAAGAGCCCATCCAGGTATTTTTCCACCCTTTGTTCTTGAACTTGAGCTTGTCTTTGGCACTGGCTCCCTCCTTCATGATCCTACCTGGAGCACATCTTCCTCAAAGCTTTCTGTCCTTCCTGGTCTCCTCCCACTGCACAGTCAGGAGCAGCAAACTTGTCTCCCCAAAGCCTCAGTTACCCAGCAGGCTACCGAAGGTTCCGGCAGCCAGGGAGCTTCCCATTCTTCTCCACAGCACAACACTCATAATGTGCTCACAGTGGACATTTATATGTTGATTGGTGTGGGATTAATTATGGATTGCCTCATAGAAGAAGCAAATTCCATCTAGGGGTCATTTCAATGTTAGGTTTCATTTAATCAAAGAGGGTACAGGCTCAAGCAAGTTAATTCCCAGTAGGTGAGATTTCTCCCAGCCAGGGTCCCTTCCCTTGGAGGTCTTGGGAGAACAGGTGAAACTGGGTATCTAAACAGTGAGAGAAGTGTGAGGAAGAGGAACAGAAAGCGTGTGGGGCCTCTCAGGAACTGAGAAAATTCTAGTCAGTGAAGCTTAACAGGCTTCATTTGATCACTAAAATAAGAAAATCGGTTTCTGTGTGTATGTGTGTTTTTAAACCTGAAGACAAGGTCTTTGTAGAAAGATTGACTGGAAGAGTCAACTAGAAAACAAACAAAAACCCAATCCTCTCAACAGGTGTTTACTGGGAAGCCCAGGACTTCCTAAGAGAGAAGTGAACCTGGCAGCTGTACCAACCCACAGATACAGAAGATGCTGAAAACTAGAATCAGCCTTCACATGGCCCAGACAAGTTACTTCTTTCTCCTTGTCTGCCAAGAGTATGCAATGGTTTGGGGCCTTGACAGCTTTTCGGCAAGAATTTCAGAGCTGCCAGACAGTCATGATTATGCCAATATGCCTCACTTCACCTAGTAGGAGACTGAATTTTTAGTATTAGCCAGGACAAGCTGGTTTCAATAAAACACTGCCACACACTGTTACACAATCTATAAATAATAATAATAAAACAACAAAAACAGGTTGGGTCAACTTTATCAACAACCCATTGTCACTTCCCGGAACTCATTAGCCTGATGATGACTTAAATTCATATTTCACAATTTGTTCACAATTAGATTGTTAAGTATAGGGTCAATTAGCATCTTTGTGGAGAAGGGCTTGTGAGGTAAGGCAAATTCAACATGCTTTTCTCTGGTTGGACCCAGTGTCCCAGGTAAGCATTCTGATATTTTCACATGCAAGTCCAGGTAAGTAAGTGAGTAAGTGACTTTGAATACAAAATTATGATTAAGCTGCATCTCAGGTGAATGAAAACAAGTACCTCACCTTAGTTTGGTTCGGGAAAACTTCCTTCCCTCCCTCCCTCCCTCCCTTTTTTATTCTTTGTGCCAGTACTGGGGGCTTGAACTTAGGGCCCAGGTGCTCTTTTAGCTTTTTTGCTGAAGGCTGGGGCTTCATCACTTGAGCTACAGCTCCACTTCTGACTTTTTTGGTCATTAGTCTCAGGGACTTTCCTGCCTGGGCTGGCTTCGAACCTCAATCCTAGATCTTGGCCTCCTGAGTAGCTAGAATGACAGATGTGAGTTACTGGTAGCCAAGTACCACATTGACAATTTCCTGTTGTGAGCGTAAATTCATTTCAAATTATTCTAAATGAAGGCAGAAAATAATTCTGTCTCTGAGCTTCTTTAGGAGCGAACAGGTGGAGGCAATCTTACATGTAGTACATTAAAAAAAAAAAAAGAGATCTCTGATCCTTACTTTAAAATCATGGTCTTGACCCACAAGGAGCCAGGATATCCATAAGGCAAATTCCTGAAAATGGCCAGGTCAGGAAATGGAGAGCCGCTGAGCACCGTCTACACCAAACACCCAGCCAGCCCCTGGACTTGCCAAGACTGGTGCCTCACCAGCTTGTGTTTCTGAGGTGCTGTGGCTTGATGCTGTTGTAAGGTAAATGATCAGAGAAGCCACAATTTTGGAAGATGGAATCCTGGAGCCTATGACATAGTTAGTGGTCTGCACACAGCTTTCCCCAAGCATGAAGACAAGATGCCAGACCCTACCATTCACTATGTGGCCAATATGGTGCTGGCCAGACCTGACTTCCCTACTTCAAAGGAAACAAAGGACCTCTTCTTAGTTTGTCTTGTCGTTTCAGATGACTCTGTATTCTTTACCTCACACACGGTGCACACACATGCACATCTGAGGGAAGCTGACATCCCTACTTCAGTGTTTCTATGGTTTGCAGGCAGAGGTACAAAATTTGGAAAACAAGAGTTAGCCAATAATGACGGAGGAAAGTTCTGGGAACTGTGGTCTCAGAATAAAAACAGACATTCTTGTAACCACAAGGAGGGAGATTGGGGTGCCAAAACTCAAGAGGTTTGCAGGAGACCCGTTAGCTTCTCTGATTTGGTAAATTCATAATTTCCCAATGTAGAGTTTTGCAAGTCAAGAACAGCCTTCCATTTACAATTCTATTTTACTGCATCCCTGTTTAGACATTTTCAATCAATCTATCAACGTACTTATATTTTGAACAGGAGCAATACGCACCAGCATTAAACACAAGTTTCTAATGGAGACACACATTTCCCTCCTACACCTGTCGCCCCATGGCCCATTTCTCTCCCCAAGACCCAGCTTTTCCCAGAAGCTGTGTGTCCTTTGTGCACACTGACGTGCGTACCATTTTACATACAAATGATGGCATCCTATCCTTTGCTTTTTTGCTTATGTGTTTCCCCATCCCTACAGTCACACTTTTCCTCATTCTTTTAAATAACATCATGGAGTTCCATCATGTGGAATGAACTATAATTTAACCAGTTCCTTATCACTGGGCATTTAGGTGGATCTGAGTTTTTGCAAATACATACAGCATGGCAATGAATGACTTTACAGCTTGATTATAGATGAATAGACCCAAAGGTAATTTCTTGGAAAGGCAACTACTGTGTCAAAAGGCACACTGCCCTAGATAGAACTTGATGACCCACACCCACAAGACACAGTGGAGTTTACACATTCTTATATGTGTGTGTGTGTGTATCTATATATTTATGTTCATGTCCATGAATATGTAGGTCCTTTAAGGTCTAGCTTCCACATATAAGCAAAAACATACCTTTGGCCTATCTCTCTCAACATGTTCTCCAACTATTTTCCTGAAGATGACCTGATTTTTTCTTTATGAGTGTGTCATATTCCAAATCTGTATACCATTATCTTCTTTATCCATTCATTTGTTGTTGGGCATCTCAGCTGATTCCATTTGGCTACTGTGAACTGCAGTCACACTGCTATTGGGCATGGCTATCTCCTGGAAGGTAATTATGTTAATACACCTCTGCTCACAG